AAAGAAAGAAAGAAAGAAAGAAAAAAGAAATAGCTGTGATCAAGGAAAAAAACCCACTGTGATTAGGGAAAGGTATGTAGCTCAGGAGGCACAACACCTGCCTACAAGTGCGAGGCCCAGAGTTGATTCTAGGCACCACTGAAAAGATGGACAGACAGGAAGAAATGTGTTGCAATTAACAATATTGTACAGGGGCCGGGAAGACAGCTCAGTAGAATAAGCACTTGCCTGGCAAGCCCAAGGGCCTGAGTGCGATCCCTAGTTCCACAAAAAAAGGGTAAAAAAAAACCCCAAACAATATCGTACAACATTTTCTCCTTTTTTTTTTTTTTGCGGAACTGGGGATTGAACTCAGACCCTTGCACTGGCCGGGGAAGCGCTTATTCTACTCGGCCCCCATTTTTTCCTTTTTGAAGAAATAAAATTTTTTTGGTGGTACTAAGGATTGAATCCAGGTAAACTACCAATAAACCAGGTCTTTAAAAAAAAAGCTATGTCGGGGGCCTGGCCCTAGCTCAGTTCTTTAAGTGGCTGCTTCCACCAAGCTGTCAGCCTCAGGTGGCTCTAGTTCGATCCCCACAACTCTCCAGCCAGCCACACAAGCCCTGAGGGCATTTGGAGGAAATCAAACAAACAAACAAAAAGCTATGTCTTCTTTTAAAATTTATCTTTTCAGGGCTGGGGAGATAGTTCAGTGGCTTAAGTGTACGCCTAGCAAGCACAAAATCCTTTCAATCCCTGCTTTAAAAAAAAAAAAAAGTAAATTTATTTTTCATTTTGACAGTGTCTCACCTACTCTCCTAGATAGGGCTTGAATTTACAATCCTAATCCTTTCTCAGTCTACTCAGTGCTGGATTTATAGGTGTGTACTACCACACCTGGCTTAATCTTTTTTTTCCCCTCCCTTGGTATGGGGGATTGAACTCAGGCCCTTGCGCTTGCCAGGGAAGCGCTTATTCCACTGAGCCATCTCCCCGGCCCTTATCTGCCCTCTTAACACTTCACAAATTTAAAATTTTAAAGTTTAGTAACAACACAAACTTGGGGAAGGGTTTTTTAAAAATTTTTTGGCTATTTCAGGCTGCCTTAAGGGCGGATTTGGGGCAGCTTGTGGAGCTGAGGATCAAAACTGCAGTCCCCTGCGCCTGTGTTTATCCAAGTGACGTTTTAAACAACTGAGCAACACAAATAGTTGAAATACTAATTTAAGGAAAAGAAATCTCTAAATTTTTATTGTGTAGTAATTACAAACTACCAAATTCTTTGTTGACAGAAAATCTAAATTCTCATTAAGGGCCAGCCAGATACCTCAGTGGACTAGGGTCCATGATTCAATCCCCCGTTGTGCCATACCAGCCCTGCCCCCAGCGTGATGGCACATCCCTATAATCTCAGGGCTTGGGAAGTTGGATTACTAGGAGTCCAATCTGTGTGGTGAGAGCCTGTACTAGATACATTAAAAAAAAAAAAAAAAAAAAAA